GCAGATCGATAGGGGATTTCCATAGTTTGCAGTGCATTTATACAAACTCCCCCCCCCCAACCAAATGATTCCTCAGTTAAAGGGGATAGAATGTAAGCATGTTAAAAGAGTGCCCGCATGGCTGCAATTTAGTTTTGATGTAATTTTAAAAGGGAGTAAGATTTGTAAGGTTTTAAAAGTAACTGCTTGTGATTTATTTTTGGTTTTTTGCATTTTAGATTGTGTTAATGACTGAAATACCTGAATATAATTGACTGCTTATGTCCTTTCTTTAGAAAATCCCATTCTCAGGGTCATTGAATACTTGATTCAGGATATGGAACATGAAAATGACACTGCAGTGACTGAATTTGTCCTCATTGGCTATTCTGGTCGACCAAAGACAAGGATGGGATTAATAGCATTCCTGACAGCTGTCTACTCCATAACCATTGCGGGAAATGTTCTTATTATTTTGGGCACCATTGCTGATCCTCGACTCCACAACCCCATGTACTTTTTCCTTGGTAATCTGTCTTTCCTTGACATTGGATATTCAACAACTTCCATCCCACAGGCCATTGCAAATCTTCTGGTGGACAAACCCACCATGTCCTTTGTGATGTGTTACCTGCAAATGAGCAGTGGTGTCTGGTTAGGAACGACTGAATGCTTCCTGTTGGCTGTTATGGCTTATGACAGGCTTATAGCCATTTCCAGCCCACTACATTACATGCTGATTATGAACAAGAGATTGTGCATTCAGTTAGCAGCTGGGACGTGGTCAAGTGCCTTTTTTTTAGGCGTTATTCCCATTTATGCCATGCCAGCTCGCTTTTGTGGGAGAAATGTGATCAATCATTTCACATGTGAACTCATAGCTGTTATGAAGCTTGTTTGCTCAGATACCTCCATGAGCCAACTGCTTATGTTCTTCTCTGGATCCCTCACATTGCTTGTTCCTTTTGCCTTTATCCTTTTCTCATATTTACGCATTATTGTGGCAGTTCTGAGAATGCATTCATCAGGTGGGAGACTAAAGGCTTTTTCCACATGTGCGTCCCATTTGACTGTGGTAACCATTTTCTATGGCACTGCTATATTCTCATATATCCGACCTCAAACTAAAACCACACATGAACTGGATAAGGCGATTTCTCTCTTCTATGGAACTGTGACTCCCATGCTAAACCCACTAATCTACACACTCAGAAATCAAGAAGTAAAAGGAGCCTTAAGAAGGCTTATGGTAAGGTAAAGGAATTATTTAAAAGAATGGAATCAACAATGAAAAAAACAAGGAAGTTGTGGAAAGATATAGTCCTTCCTATTGAGAAATGGTTGATAAAGTTATTGGACTTAGCTCAGATAACAAACTTAACATGTTTAATCAGGAAAAATCATTATAGACTTTTATAATGGATTGGAAACTTCTTATGAACATTTTGCATGAAAGAGAAGATGAACTTTTAGTAACTGGATTTGAAGATTGGGAAAAAATACTGTTTTATAGAAAATAAAATAGTTTGATGTCTATTTGAGTGAGTACTTTGAACAACTAATTATATTTAGCTTACAGAGAATCAAAAGTCTTTTCAACTTTTACTTATAATCCCCCTTTTACAACCCCTTATATTTTTTCTTTCTTCCATCGCCCTATCCTCCTTCCTTCTCTTTGCTCCTGATTCTTTTTAGACTAATTCCCCCACCCCCCTTTAATCTGGTTTATTTTAAAAATATACTTTGTGCTGGGTATAAACTTTTTCATATCTTTTGATGAGTATCAGTAAAATTTAAATAGAAAACAAAAACAAATCCAGAAGCAAGTTCATATACTCATACACAGTCAGTTTAAAAAAGTAAGGATGTAACAACTTAAAGTGAGCAACAGTGTAAATTGGTAAATGACAACAAAGAAGGCCTTGTCTAGTAATCCCAGTAAATTCATTTACCTTGATCTTGGGCCTATGAGTACATTTATCTGAGTACATTTATCTGTTGGCATATTGGCATTCCTCAACCTGTAGATGGCTTTTAAAGTTCAATAGCAGCACTTTCAATTGTGCCTAGATACGCCCAGTAAACCAAGCGCCATATTTAACATTGTCACTATTATCTATGACACAGTAGCCCTTTGGAGGTTTTATGCAACTTGGTTGTGGGGAAAAACAGGGTCATGCCTTTAGACCCTGAGCCACTGTCCCTGTCCTCTAGTGTCCAACTCTTGGACTATGACTAGGGAAAGGAACTCCGACCAAGGGTCCATATAACTCAGCACCCTGCTGTCACAGTGGCCAGCCATATGCTCATGGGAAATCCCCAAGCAGAACCTGGGCACAAGTGTACTTTCTCTTCCTGCATTTTCCAGCAACTGGTTTTCCGAAGCCTCTAACCATGGAGAGTCTACATGTGTTTGGGACTCTCACCATGCCACACCCCATAATGATCTTTCTCCTCAAGTGCATGAATCTATTCTTCAACTGCTAGCTTTGATGGAAGAAAGAGCTATGCACGTATAATCCTTTGATTTTTTCATGGCAGAAACGCAGCCTATCGGAGAAATTTTGTATGTTGTTCCCCACACTTTTTGCCTCTGAGCTCAACTGCTTTTACCTTTGCTCTCACCACCAGTAGTATGTGATCCACCCCCCCCCCCCCAGAAAGCTGTTCAAGTAAGAATGTGAATCTTCTGGTGGACAAACCCACCATTTGCAGTGTGTTACTTGCATATGAATGGTGGTGTCTGGTTAGGTATGACTGAATGCTTCCTCTTGGCCATCGTGGTTTATGACCAGTATATAGCCATTTCCAGTCCACTGCACTACATGCAAATCATGAGCAAGAGATGTTGTATTCAGTTAGCTGCTGGAACATGGAGCAGTGGTGTATTTTTAGGGATAGTCCCAATGTATGCAATGCCAACTCACTTTTGCAGAAACAACATAATTAACCATGTGACATGTGAAGTGAAAGCAGTTCTGAAGCTTACCTGACCAGATACCTCTTTGAACTAACTGCTAATGTTCTTAACTGGGATTCTCACATTTCTTGGCCCCTTTGCCTTTATCCTTTTCTCATACTTGTGGATTATAATGGTCATGCTAATAATTCATTCATCAGGTGGCAGGTAGAAGGCTTTCTCAAGCTGGCTTTTCCCACCTGACTGTGGTAAGCATTTTTTTTCGGCACTGCTATATTTCCATTCCTCAAACCTCAAAGTAAAGACACGAGAGCTTGATAAAACCATTTCTTTTTTCTGTGGGGTACTGACACCCATGTTAACCCCCCTCATCTACAGACTCAGAAATCAGGAAGTAAAAGGAGCATTAAGAAGACGTGTGGGAAGGGGAAAGGCACCACATTTAAAGTGGATGAATGATTCTACAACTATTGAAAAATCTATTTTAGGCAGGGAGCAAGGTTTTATCTGCACCTGTTGTGTTAATATTGCTAATAAAAGATTCTTGCAAATCTAGTTGACACATCAAAGGTAAACATTTTTAGGAATAAGTATGTCCATGTCAGCTTTCCAGGATTTCAGGCAGGGAAATTTGCAACCCTATCCGGAGTTGTTGGGCAACTTTTCATTTAAAATGTACTCAACTGCTGTGTTATGGACCACCCCCACATAGGCGCCGACTCCATGGTGCCTGAGGGGGCCCGAGCCCCCTCAAAAATTCGTTTGGGGGGGCTCTGCCCCCCCAATAATCTCAGGCGCCCCTCCAGCAGAGCGCCACCGCCGCCCCTCCCCCAGCCCAAAATGCACAGGGTCGGGCTGCATGCCTCCTGCCCTCCCTCCCGAGCAAAAGCTCCACCCAATTTCCTTCGGAGCTGATTTATAGGCGCAGCACGCTCTCCCCTATTCGCTCACGAGGAGGCGGCGCCACTTTATCTGCATATTCATGAGCTTATTTATTATTCATGAGCTTTCGCGGGCTCCCCCAATATTTTTTATGAGTCGGCGCCCCTGCACCCCCACATAAAACGCACCAGATTCCTTTCTTTTTCTTTACAATATGAGCAGGTACAGATTCAATTCTGCATTGCAAGAGAGTGTTCTTGAGGCTGCTGAATCAATGAGGCTCCTGGGACTATGTACCCAAGGGAATGCAGAATAAGGATGTGTATTTAAAAATATAAACTAACTAAAGAAAAAACCTGAGAGAAGGGATCTTTCCCCCCAGATATGAACAAAACATATACCCACTACCTTCTGCACTGTCCTTCTCTCTACTTAGAACATTTTGAAACTCTCCAAGGATCAGAAATTGATACTTTATTAAGGCAATCCTTTATCCCATAATGTTATAAAACCTTTTCAGACTCAGGATCCACTTTATCTCAAATATTAATTTTTCAACCAGCTTCTTTTTTTTTTTTACCTTCCATATCTGAAAGACTCCTCTGGAAGACCATCTTGTGTGTGGCTGTGACCCATAAGTAGATCATGATCCACCAGGTGAAGACCAGTGGTTAAAAAATGTCAATTCTAATTTTAGTAACAAATGCTGATGAAGGACATCAAAAATGTTTTGAAGGTCAAAGGCATTTGAAGGTATTCACTGTCTATTTTAAAAGTATATTTCTATATGTATTGAATGAGCAGCCATCACTTTTTAAATGGGAAAATTAACTTGAATAATGTATTCATCTTGTTAAAATTTTTGGGAAGCATAAACAAAAGAAAAGAAAAAATTATTGGATTGGGGATCCATTGTAAGCACACACAAAATGCAGTGACACAAATCGTATTTGTTTGATAACCTCCAAATAAACGTAGAGTATATCTGATTGAATTCAATATGTCTTTACTTAAGATTAGACATGTTGTTGGATGCAATCCTATATGAACTTACCTTCACAAATCCTAGTGATCTCTGATGTTAGTGGGATTGTGATTTTTTTATCATGTTAGAGTGTGTTAATGACTGAAATACCTGAATACTATTGACCAGCAAGCTGGTTATGTCCTTTCTTTAGAAAATCCCATTCTCAGTGTCGTTGAATACTTGATTCAGGATATGGAAGATGAAAATGAGACTGCAGTGACTGAATTTGTCCTCATCGGCTATTCTGGTCGACCAAAGACAAGGATGGGATTAATAGCATTCCTGACAGCTGTCTACTCCATAACCATTGCGGGAAATGTTCTTATTATTTTGGGCACCATTGCTGATCCTCGACTCCACAACCCCATGTACTTTTTCCTTGGTAATCTGTCCTTCCTTGACATTGGATATTCAACATCTTCCATCCCACAGGCCATTGCAAATCTTCTGGTGGACAAACCCACCATGTCCTTTACGATGTGTTATTTGCAAATGAACAGTGGTGTCTGGTTAGGAACAACTGAATGCTTCCTGTTGGCTGTCATGGCTTATGACAGGCTTATAGCCATTTCCAGCCCACTACATTACATGCTGATTATGAACAAGAGATTGTGCATTCAGTTAGCAGCTGGGACGTGGTCAAGTGCCTTTTTTTTAGGAGTTATTCCCAATTATGCCCTGCCAGCTCACTTTTGTGGGAGAAATGTGATCAATCATTTCACATGTGAACTTATAGCTGTTATGAAGCTTGCTTGCTCAGATACCTCCATGAGGCAACTGCTTATGTTCTTCATTGGATCCCTCACATTGCTTGCTCCCTTTGCCTTTATCCTTTTCTCATATTTATGCATTATTGTGGCAGTTCTGAGAATCCATTCATCAGGTGGGAGACTAAAGGCTTTTTCCACATGTGCATCGCATTTGACTGTGGTAACCATTTTCTTTGGAACTGCTATATTTTCATATATCCGGCCCCAAACTAAAACCACAAATGAACTGGATAAGGCAATTTCTCTCTTCTATGGAACTGTGACTCCTATGTTAAACCCACTCATCTACACACTCAGAAATCAAGAAGTAAAAGGAGCTTTAAAAAAGCTTATGGTAAGCTAAATGAATTATTTAAAAGAAACAAACAAATGGAATCGACAAGGGAAAAACAAGCAAGTTACGGAAAGATATATTCCCTCTTGTTGAGGAATGGTTTCTTTTAGATTAGGTTTTTTTTGTTCTGGTTTATTTTTTTAAAAAAATACTTTGTGCTGGGTATAAAGTTTTGTATATCTTTTTATTGAGTTTCAGTAAAATTTAAATATAAAACAAAAACAAACCCACAAGAAAGTTCATATACTCATACACAGTCAGTTTAAAAAGTAAGGCTGTATCAAGTTAAAATGAGCAACAATGTGAATTGGTCTCCCAGGTTCAACACTCTTAACTATACCATGTTTAGTCAAAGTTTCTGCAAAATGAGCTGACAATAAAGCAGGCCCTGTCTCTTAATCCTAGTAAATTCATTTATCTTGATCTTGGGCCTATGAGCAGGATCTCTTATGCTGATTCTTAAGACCTGAGTACATTTATCTGTTGGCACTTTCAATTGTGCCTAGATATGCCCAGTAAACCAAGGGCAATATTTAACATTGTCACTATTATCTATGACACAGTAGCCCTTTGGAGGTTTTATGCAACTCGGTTGTGGGAAATAACAGGGTCATGCCTTCAGACCCTGAGCCGCTGTCCCTGTCCTCTGGTGTCCAACTCTTGGACTATGACTAGGGAAAGGAACTCCGACCAAGGGTCCATATAACTCAGCACCCTGCTGTCACAGTGGCCAGCCATATGCTCATGGGAAATCCCCAAGCAGAACCTGGGCACAAGTGTACTTTCTCCTCCTGCATTTTCCAGCAACTGGTTTTCCGAAGCCTCTAACCATGGAGAGTCTACATGTGTTTGGGACTCTCACCATGCCACACCCCATAATGATCTTTCTCCTCAAGTGCATGAATCTATTCTTCAACTGCTTGCTTTGATGGAAGAAAGAGCTATGCATGTATAAGCCTTTGATTATTATTTTTCATGGCAGGAATGCAGTTTTTAGGAGAAAAGCAAGTATTTTGTATGTTGCTCCCCGCACTTTTTGCCTCTGAGCCCAACTGCTTTTACCTTTGCTCTCACCACCAGTAATATGTTACATCCCCCCCCCCAGAAAGCTGTTCTAGTAAGAATGTGGAACTCAGACTTAAAAAGCTTCCCCACCTCATCTCCTTTACACACATTCCTCTAAATCGTGGACAGTGAGTGTGTGGGGTTTGTGAGGCCATAAGGCGTAATGTGGATTTCTCTTCATGCTTGGCCACTTAGAACTGGGGCAACTGGTCTTTGTAGGTTTAATGTCTCCTTGATGAATGATTTGATCATTCTTTTTCAGCTATAATTTGTCCATCCTTCCTCCTGGTTAGCTTCTTAGTAAAACACTTAAATACAATGTGTGAAAGGTTCCCTTGTCCTTGTTTCTAACCCATCAGGCACCTCTTGTTCAATTTTGGCAATTGTCCAGTCCAAGAAGTCTGTCAGGCTTAATTGTTTAGATTTTGTTTTTGATCTGGTTAAGTGACTTGGCTCGGAGGGCTCTCGCTGCCACTGCCACTTTTTTTATTAGCCATCGATCCAAAGCAATCCTCCTTCGTCAAACTTAATTAAATTCTGGCATCACACTAGTAGGGAGTCCAGCAGTTACTTGTCTTTCAGCAGATTAAGGCAGAGGAACACAGCTGAATCACTCTTTCGATAGGCACACATGTTAGGCTAACAGCCTCCTGAATAGCAAGGCTAATAGCCTTGGCTTGTTTCAGGGCTCTCCCCAAGGATGGTCAGTTAAGTGAGTGGGTTTGGGGATGAAAGGTAGGGTTGGTGATTTTGGAGTTGCTGAAATTCTGTTCAATATTGAAAACGTCTGAACTGTGTGAGATAACTATATTTGGGGGTGTGCTGTGGGAAAGGTCAAATATAATTTGTATATAAAGATTAAGCCTTCCAATCATATGCTAGCAGCAGCAATTACAACATATACCTGTGTCTATGATGGCACAATACATGCTTGGAGGCTTGCTATCCTCTGTCAAATCAGATCTACTTCACTGAGGGTACACATTGCGATCGGATCTCTGAGCACGCCTCACTATCTGGTGCAGGCAGAGTAAGCCTGTTCCTCTCTGGTTGGTCATTTTGCAGTCACTTGGACCCTAAAGCCAAGCTTGGCTTGGGGGATGGCCGTGAAACAATATAAGCCCTGTGCAATGTTTGCTGGACCTCTTTTACCTTGCACAGTGGAACACCCACCCACCCTTTCCTTTGTGCATCTTGCCTTGCTATGGACTTTGTTGATCGCCTGTTTTGCAACGGGGGCCTGGTAGGAATTTTTCAATCTGGCAGATTGGCAGGGCCATTTCATTTCCACCTACCGCATAGTAATCGCCACAACTTTGTAAGGTTTAGCAGTTAGGCATTGGATCAGCAATGTGTGGGGGAGGGGAGGTGTGCCCATCACATACACCCCCCAAGGTCAAGGGTATTCCGGTAAAGGAAACCAGGAGTTGGTCTGGATCTTGTCTGAAACTCCGTGGTAGGGGCTAGGTTCATGCCAGGACCCCATGGGGACACTGGGGGTGAGCTCAAGTGGTTTCCACTGGCGGGGCTCCCTCTGGTGATGTTTCACCCTTAACAGACTCCCTGCGATGCGAGAGGGAGTCTGATATAGTCTTCGGATTCCAATGCCTAAGGCAATACCACTCAAATTCTGTATTTAATAAAGTTAATTGCCCCAAAACTTAAACTAAAATCCTGTGTCACTGTGTCTCATTTTGGGGGGCTACTCAAAGTGCAACTGCCTCCTCTCCTAAAGTTTTCCTCCTTGCTTCCCCACAACTATTGAATAAATGGGACCTGGCAGAATTCAGCAAGAGGGAAAGCTGAAAATGATCAAATCTCAGTCAGACTTTGAAGGGGGCTTTGGTTCAGCTTGAGAAAGATATTTGAACTGCAGAAGGGCATTTCTGATAACCACTTTCCTGAATACATTTAAAGAAGAAAATAACCTTAATGTATTTTCCCAGTCAAGCAACAACTACATTATGAAGCAATTCTTAAGTTTCTTGGAATGCTACATGTTCCCTGATGGGATTCAAAGTTAAGACCTAATTAGTGCTGTTGGGCTCTAGTGGGAAAATGTCTTTCTGCAGGAAATTAACAGTACTCTGCTTCATAGTTTCTTACTTTGACCTGGAAGAATATCAGGGTACATGATGGGACCTAGCAGATGTTCAGATCTCAAAAAAGGCAAATTGGGAATACTTGAGCAGTAAACTCATGCCACTGTTATTGAGGTTCTCATCCAATTTTTTTAGGGAAAAAAATATATTCATAGAACTATACTTGTATTTGTTTCAAGGCTAGGTTATAAATAATGCTGACACTAATACTCCTTTTAATGATGCAAGAATTTTAGATAGGTGAAATTCTGTTTGTGGAAGGATATTTCGATAAGACAAAGCATATAAGTGTTCCGTCAAAAAAGAAAAAAAAATCAGTTGACCCACCCCCTGTTAGTTACCCGAAAGTGAAGAAGCTCCCCATAGTGTTACTTGCCTAATTCCAATTTTGTTTTCAACAATTATACTTTTGCATCAATAGGAAGGGGAGAGAAATTTAATTTTGTTTGTATTTAAATGAGAAGCTGCCTAATTAACACCTCTTGAACCAAAACACAAACCAATGTGCAACTAGCCCTCAAAATTCTCATGTATCTGAATATTGTGACATAGGTCTCAAAGCAAACAAAGTACACATATTAAACTGAGCATAAAACTGCATATATTAATACAAAATGCACTACATTTGCAAAATCGCTTGCAAAAATGTGTACCATAGTGAAAACTGCATAGCAAATGAATTTATTAGGAGAAATTTGCAGTAAATGTTAATGAAAAATTGTACTTATGTTTAAGGAGAAATCACTGTGTTAAAGCTGACCAAAAGTCCAGAGGTAGCATGATTATCAGTTTACGATGGGGTGGAAGGTTCACAGGCTATGAAGGACTTGCTCACAAATTTATTGACAGCTGTATGAATTATGATAGCTGGGAAGTAGCAAGCAGAATATAAAATTGAAGAATGGCATAAAAAGGTGTGGGATATAGCTATTAATGATAAATTAACATGTGCCATTAAGGTAAGATGAGGAATATGCAGGAGAAATGATTTTGAGGAGATATGGGAAGTCATTGTAGAATTTTTACTGTTAAAATCATTAGAAGAAGTGTTGAAATTTTTGGAGATTGGATAGTTAGAATGGAATGGTCTCAGTGTTCACATTTTTATTCTTATTTATTTATGATTGTAGCTTTGGTAAAATGAAATAATAATAATAATAATAATAAAAAGAAAGCAAATACAAAGAAGCTCACTGAATAAAATTCTACATATGTACACATCTATTTAAAAAAATGCTAATGAATTTTCATGGACTGAAAACAGATCACCCACTGCCAGATGATGCCGCACCCAAGGAAAGCACAACATCAAGACTGCCAGAGACAGATCTAATTATTTTTTACTCTGATCCCCCGAAAGCCAAAAACAACTGGACACTACTGCTGACGGCTGGCAATCTGGACAAGTCTGTAAAACAACCCCAGAAAGAACAACATTTCAGACACCTCAAGAATGGCTGTGTTATAACTGAGACAGAGGAAGAGCTGACTACAATCTGCCCTTCACAATGAAGCCAAATTGCCAATGACGAGAGTAGCCTAAATATTATTTCATGGAACATAGCGGGTTGTGCCAACAAAGTAGGGAATGAGTCATTTCATGAGTACATAACGAGTTTCGATGTGATAATGTTGCAGGAAACCTGGGCAACTGACTTATTATAAATAATAAAGAAAACAACAGAAAGTGATGTAGAAATGCAGAGACCTGAACCTAAGATAGGAAAAAATGAGTGGAGAAAATCACAGCTACAGATTTGTCCATCCCTTACCCCTGTCAATATGGTCAATGGTCAGTGATGATAGTAGTTGTAGTCCACAACATCTGGAGGCCACCATGTT